ATGAAATCGTAGGATTTCTTATAATCCAGTAAGATGGGGGGGGGGGGGGGGGGTGTGGATTAGATAGGAGAATTTGTAATCTTCACCTGCCTTTCGGAAAATCGTTAACTCATAAATATATAAATAAAAATTTGGGGCAAAGACCCCAAAATTTAGTGTGAACACCCAATTACCCTCTCCCTTTCTGTGTCCCTTGCAAGAATATAATTAATGTAATTATTTTATAATTATTGATAATTTTATCAAAGACATCTGTTGGGTTTGTGCATAAATACAAGTGGTAAAGTGTACTCTGCTGTATCACGTGGTATAATGTACTAAAATCATGTGACCTTATGGTATACCACTGGTAGCCCAAGCTTGGTATGGTGTCATGTTATAAGAAAATGTATGGGGATTCATCAAAAATTTCAGTAAAATCATTGAAACGTGAAAAAAAGCCTCGAAGTATTACGCGATCGTCGAGAAATAGCACTTCTTTCACTCTCTCCCCATACATTTCCTTATAACATGACACCACAGAAACCAAGCTTGGGCTACCTGTGGGTATACTTGCTGCTGTGACGTAAGTTATTTGTGTGCCAACCAGAGATTGATTTGTTGATAAAACAAAGAAACTTTACAAGAACTATTGTGATAATGGTTGGAAAATTCACATCACAACACTAATGTTTGTAAACACCAACTAGTGCTATAGACTCCTTGCAGTATGTTTGAATGCTGCTCAATCTGGGGGACAAAACAATAGGTTCCAATTCTCAGGAGATTGTAATTCTTTTGTTTTGTCCCCCAGATCGAGCTTCTTTGACATCACATGCCAGGGGTCTCTAGGTGTCAAACAATATCACAGAGGTTTTGGGAGCAAATCCCATAATAATAATAATAATTTATTAACTTACTATAGCGCCTTTTAACATTAAAATGATCCCATCTGGAGAACTCAGATTTTTTCAGAAAAAATTAGCTTTCAAGAAACATTTTTATCAATGATTTCAAAACAAAAACAAAAACACCTTTAGCATATTGGTGGTTTGCAATTATTTCCAAGAGAATTGTTTAAAAAAAAGACATGTTGGCCATCTTGGTTAATAACACTTCTGACAACTCGATCTTTTGTTGAATATTCCCTTTCACAGTGCCGTACGACACCTTGAAAGGTAGCCATGCCTTTGCATCAAAGCGTGATGAACGGTGAGCTTACAATGATAGAGACATATTGATCAAGGTGTTAAAAATGGTCTCTATCATTGCAAGCTCACCCTTCGATGCAAAGGCACGACTACCCTTCAAGATGGCGCAGGGAACTGTGAAGGGTACTCTTGATCCACAATGGCGGATATAAAAATCACCAATAATTGTGTATATAGAATCCTGGTAATGATAAGCCTCGCAGTTATTAGCAATTCTCTGGTTGAGGAAAACACTGCGTTGTGTTGGCAATGCAGTGCATTGTGCTACCGTTTCAATGGACATATTTCCAAGATGCTGTCCATCGACACCTAACATAGTCCTACAATACGATGCCAGCCCAACCCAGTTTTTTCTCAACCTCGGAATGACTAACGAGTGTACCCCTTCTGCTAACCAGAATTCAATGGTAGTGAGCCAGAAAGTAGGTCTTGCAATAGCTCGCTGGTTTGTTTATATCAATCACAAAACACAAAGTAGATGACTCAGTGAAAAAAATAGTATTAAAATAATATAGTATTAAGACTATGATTGTAAATAGTATTTTATCCAGGGTTTCTAACAGTATTGGTAATAACATTAAAACCATATATGAAAGAAGGAAGAAAGGAAGCTTCTTTATTTTACCACTGTGAACTGTAGAATATGCTGATTATTGGCCGAGTGAATTGGGTACCATTGGTAGAGGGAAGTAATCTAAATTCCTTAATTTTGTTTTTGAAAACTGCTAATATTATGGTACTATGCATAGGCAGCGAGGCAAAGAACATTATGATCAAACTGCTCAGTCATCTATGATATGATAGATTTTAATATGTGCAATGTGTAGTTCCAGAAATTATCCA